GTGAGGCAAGATACTTACAGGACTTGGAAATGAGGTTATTATTCAGAAATGAAACCAATAAAAAACAATGCATAAAGTATAAATTTTCCATCTGTACACAAGGCTCAAAGATAGCCTATAGATGTGAAGCAGAAGGGCTTTGAGACCAACCAAGGACAATGCAGTAAATCATGCTGGAAATAGCAAGAGTTAGGATTCAGGTATAATTGTGACTTTTAAAAGGAAAGCCTATTGTATTGAGAGATTAGAAAAAAAAGGAGACACCCGAAGTGCAAGAATTTGTGGCCATTTATCCAAAATTGATAGGGAAGACAATTCCTGAATATGTTGGCCAGGAGGACTCCAGGCCCTAGAGACACAAAATAGCTCTGTATGAGCTGAGTTCGTCATAAACTCTGACACCGGCCTGGGTGGGCATCCTTCCAGTCTATCCAACAATATTCACTCGGATTCCTCGTCCTTCAAGCAATCACCTCACACCTAACCCAGTTCACACAACGCAAAGAGAGCGTGGCCTACATGCCCACATGGTTATTCTCATTCCTGAATAAAACTAAGCCCTGCTGTGAATTAATGAATTTGCAATGTGGGTGATGCTTCAGAAACAGACAGAACTGCATGGAGCCCAGCTCCATTAGTAAATATTTGACTTTAGGCAAATAATTTAACCTCTCCATCAATGACCTATAAACTGTGGATACAACAATACTAACAATTCTGTATCTGGGTGAAGATGATCCCATTTCATCAAATTGACCCACACATACACATTCAAATTATTTTCAATAAAAGTGCCAAAGCGATTAAATAAAGAAAGGGAAAATCTCTTTAGCAAGTGGTGCTAGAACAACTAGATATCCATATAGAAAGAAAAATAAAATCTTAACCCCTACCTCACACCATACCCCAAAATCAATTTAAGATGGATCACATAGATCTAATCATGAAAGCTAAAACAATAAAGCTTCTAGAAAAAACATAGTAAAAAATCACGACCTTTGGATAGGCAAAGATTTTTTATAGAAAATACAGCACCAACCATAAAAGAAAAAACATTTATAAATTGGACTTTATCAAAATTTAAATCTTCTGCTCATCAAAACACTCAACCAAGAAAATAAATAGGTGAGCCAAACACTGCAAGAAAATATTCACAACACATATATTTGAGCAAATACTAATATATAGGACACACAAGATCTCCTGCAACTCAATAATGAAAAGACAACCAGTTAAAAAATGAGAAAAATACTTGACATCATGAAAGAAGACACATAGATGACCAACAACAAATGAAAAAATGATCAAAATTGATAGCCATCAGGAAAGTGCTAATTAAAATCACAATGATATACTGGCTACAAACGCCAATGAATGGTGAAAACAAATAAGATTGCCAAGGTCAACTATTGGGAGGATATGGAGCAACCAGAACTCTCACACATTTTTTATGAGACTGTAAAGTGGCACAAACACTTAGAAACACTGTTTGGCAACTACTTAAGAATATAAACATATATGTACCCTATCACCCAGCAATATCACTCCTGGGTATTTTTCCAAGTATAAATCCACAAAAAATTTTGTATGTAAATATTCAGTGTTATTCATGACAAGCAATATTAGGAAACAATCCAAATGTCCATCAAGACATGTCCATCACGGAATGGATAAGCAGACTATGGCATATTCACACAGTGGAACACTACTCAACAATAAATAGGAAAAACTAATACACATAAGGGACTAATCTCAAAAGATATTATGCCAAGTAAAAGAAACCAGACACAAAAAAATACATAGTTCTAGCGTGGGGGGAATTATTGGGAAAGTGCACAGGGAATTTTCTGTGATGATGGATATGTTCTACGCCTTAAAATGCATTTGTCAAAACTGATATAATGGAACACTCAAGATCTGAGCATTTCACATTATGTAAATTATACTTAATTTTATTT